TATCCCGGCTCTGCGAAGAAGAGCAACGACTGGCTTCATCACCTTTGTGAACAGTCGTTGGGCAGCCGACAGCCCAAAGGGAAGGCATGCAAACTCTAGGAGTGTACTCTTCCAAACAAAGCGAAGATACTTCCTGTGTTCGTTCCAGATTGGAATCACGAAGTAAGCATCCTTTAGATCGATCTTCCCCAGCCAGTCTTGAGGCTGAAGCAGATCGCGCAGAAGGTGGGTGCCTTCCATTTTGAAATGATCGTATTGGATGTGAGCGTTCAAATCTTTTAGGTTGATCACCGGTCGCGATTTCCCGTCCCGCTTGGGAACCAAGAAAATATTGCTTATAAACTGGCCGGAAACCGGCTCGACCTTGTTCAATGCCCCTTTGTCCAGGAGAGCGGTAATTTCGATGTCGATTTTCTCGGATTCTGTGTGTGAAAAACGAGGAGGGGCCCTGATTCTGTTTTGAATCGGGGGCGAGGACAACTCGAGCTTGTAACCCCGAACCGTGTCTAAGAGGACAGGATCGAGTGTAATTTGTTGCCAATTGGGCAGAAAAAATCTTAGACGTCCCGCCAAAGCCCCTGGCGTGATTACCGCCTGAAAATCTATCTTTAAACGACTTGAAATTAACGATTGAACAGGTGGAGCCGATTTCGGACCTGATTGTTTTCGTACTACTCGTTTTAAAATGCGATTTGGAACCGTACCTGTTAGTGTTGTTTCCCCCGACTTGGGAAGTTGGATTTCCCTCTGCGAGAAAATCCCCCGCGGCACTGGCTCGGTTGATTCCACGATCGGGAGTTGAAACCCGTGCTTTGGTCCCATGACCGGGGATTGTAGCCCGGGCCTTTCCCGGGCTGCTGACGAAAAGGCTTGAACGGTTTATAGTTGTTTTTGCCGTTGCCATGGTGACCGCCACTCATCAAACTGTCCATCTCTTTCGACAGTTTTAAATCCTTAAGAATGGCTTTTTTAAACTTTTTCCCGAACAGTTCGGAGGAACCGGGGCCGAATAGCTCTGGATCATCGACTAAGTCCAAGCAATCTGGCGAAACTTTGGCCAATAGGCCCTTTCTTCGATCTACTAGAGCACAATGCGATGCGTTGCCAATCAAGGACATTGCCCGGCGACAAGCTTCGATTACGAGAGAAGGATCTATGCCTGTGGCCTTCTCCTCAGCTAAAATGGCAGTTTGCCAAAGCTGGGAAAGAGGGCCAATTGGGTCAAGCATTCGGCCAGCCATGTTCAACTGGCGGCGATCCATGGCGGTATTAAAGTTCGCGCCTTTTCGCTTCAAAAATTTTTTTGACGAAAGTGTCAACCTTTTTTGGGCGCAAGTCCGGGTGGAAAGGCACTGGGGTTTCTCCTGCCATCGCTTTTCTGGCAGTTTTTGATAGACCCTGGAACACAGCTGCTGCTGCAAACTCAATGATCGGCCCGGCAACCGACATCTCCGAGTTGTTAGGTTCCAGCATGCTCGACTCTTCGTCCCCCGAAGTGCTTGATTCACTGCTTGAAGCAGAGCTCGAAGACGAGCTAGATGAGCTGCTCGAAGAATCGTATGTTCGTGACTTATAGCGGCGTTTTTTTGAGGCCTTTGATTTTTTTGAGGCCAACTTTGAGGAGCGCCCTTCGCGTTTCCTCTTTTTGCTCTGAACTGCCGTGCAGTTGTCAGAGGAATTTTTCCTCGGTGCTTCTGACACCGGATGATTTCCTCGCGATACCCGCGGAGTTAGATTTATCGGGTCTAACAATTCCCCGTCCTCAATGGGTGACTGGTCTTCGGCCACAGAAGCCATGAAGACTGAATAAAATCTCGTCGGAAAGTAAAAATTATTTAAAAATTTCAACAGCGCCAAAAAACACAACCGTGCAATGCGAGCTGATGAAGAACTGAAGAGTATATACGGCTAGGTTACCTAGCTATGACGTGTAATTTTTTATTAGTACTTAGGCTTCATCAGCTGTGTATTGTGAGTTAGAATTTATGGAAAGCTGTTAAATCATTTTACTCACTGTAAGTCCATGCTGAAAAGAAGAGCTCAGAAAAAATGTACGACTTATTGAGTATATATTTTTTTGTGTGTGTTTTGATGTTATGTACTCAGGTGAATATACTGTAATGTTTCTTATGTTACTCTGAGTGTTTATCCACGATGTTAACATAAGAAACATTATATTCACCTGAGTACATAACATCAAAACACACACAAAAAATATAATGATCATAAGAACACATTGGTACTAGACTTAGTTCCGAAATACCACACACTCGAACCGACTCGGCCTCGTAGCTCAGTTGGCAGAGCATTGGACTAGTATCCCAAAGGTCGCGGGTTCGATTCCCACCGTGGTCAAACTAACTTTTCAGCTTGCCCGGTGTGGATAAACACTCAGAGTAACATAAGAAACATTATTGAGTATATGTTTATTATATATAATAGAAGAATTTTACACCTTTAGAATAAAAGATAAGTTATTAAATATCATCTGAATCAATATTTATACTGGTATTAAAAACCCAAACAATATTCCACAAATTAAACCATTCCTATAAGGCTAAGGGACTGGTCATAAAGTAACTGCTGGGGTGGGCTGGAGGTAAATCACAAATTTTTCCAATAAGTTTGCTGACCCATCTTAGGATGTAGATAAAACTTTGAAAGCCCATCTAATCTTACCAAATTTATTTCATGACCCACCCACCCAATCTAAATTGGGAAAATACACTTTTATAACAAAAAAAACATGCAGGTATGAACATTGTAAATATACACCAGCACTGTATTGACATACATAATTGCACAATTAACTGTGATTCGACTACTTCTTGTTGTTGTATAAAACAAAGTACTGGCTTCAATAGCATCATTTGCATTTAATAATTTGGATAGTTTTGCTTACTTTTATTATTAATTTAATATCTTTATATAATATATAATTAACATGGGTTTTTGTTTGGTGGTCCATCCGTGGACATACAAAAAAATTGGCGGCCCATCGAAACTGCCCAAAGATTTTCCATGGCCCATCCCAAATCACTCCAGCCCACCCTAGCAGTTACTTTATGACCGGTCCCTAAGATACGCGCTTGCTAGACCTCTAACTAGTTGAATCTAATGTAGTATACTAATTAAAACAACACTATTACCCAGGGAGCGGTTATAAGAAGGCCGAATAGTGCTATTCACCAAATAGTGATCTTTTCAAGTTTTCTCAAATTGGCAGAATAGACCCATAAAAAATTAAATCTGGTATTTAAAAAAAGGATGTTTTTTTATGTTTATTGTAAGCTCCATACCCATGTTTCAAAATCTTTGAGACAAAAATTTAAACTTAAAATCACCACGGTATTTGATAGCACTATCCAGCTTTCTTAGAACAGCTCCTCAACCAAACGACCACCAACAAAGGCATTCTTTCTTATTGGAGTTGTCACATACTGTATTTTTGAAACCCTCTTACAGTATAGACCCATTGCAGTTTATCTGGCAGACAGACTTTGCCTTCAACAGTACAGTAGGTTCAAGGCTGTGCTGTACAGTAGGTCATAGACTGATTGTCAGACTTTGCCCAGGGGGAGGTGCCAAAAATTTAGTGGGGGAGGTGAGTGATGGGGTGTGTAGTGCCGCCGAACAAGCTGCAGCCAGGGTCTGGGGGGCACTGTTGCTAAAGCACCTAGTAGGGGCAATTGAGATTTTTGGCCTTATTTAGTCCAGAATCCTTGTTTTTAGCAGTGGTGTAACTTAGTTTACTTTTTGACCACTTGCCATCAGGGCAAGTTGGACATGAAAATTAGTTGCCCTGAATAAAATTCACTTGTCATCAGACAATGGCCACTGGGGTACCTAGGTAGGGGGTATAAATTAAGGGGACAACATGTCGACCCATTCTCCCACTGCTCTATATGGCTGTGTTATACTCTACCTCAGATCTAGCTTTGGCCCACGAAAAACAAAATTTGAATGAATTACATGCACTATAAAAAAATTATATCCGACAATGAAAACATAAACTTAATTAAAGATACCCAGCTTTTTGTGGCAAGGCAACTTGCCCAATGGGGTACCTATAAGCAAAACAAAACGTTTACTTGCCCGTCATGATATTCACTTGCTCCGGACAAGTGTTAAGTTACACCTCTGTCTTTAGTCTTACATACTTAGTTCAAAATTGCTATTTCAATCACACTAGCAGCAATTAAATTTCTGGGGGGGTGCAATTTCTCTAGTCGTGAGGGGTGAGAAAAGTTTCTGAGGTGAAAAATGTTTGGGGTGTGCAACCCCCCCCCCCCCTGCAACAAAGTTTGCAACATTTAGGGAAAAATTATGTGAAATCAGCTGTAACAATATCAAAATCAGCGTCAGCGCCTTTTGACGAGTAAAATCATCTGGCGACTTAGACTGATTAAAATAGTCCAGCATTTATAGACAGAATAAAATAATAAGCTAGGGGGCATTGAGGCACAGTGCAACTGAATGGGTTAATGAGAATCACTTTTGTTTTGTGGTCACCAGAATCTGCTTTATCCTGGATCCACATCTTTCATAGTTGTGAAATAAATTGTACGTCAATCAGTAAAGGGAACTATAGTTGCTAAAGTTCATAATAGGAAAATTTCACGAAGATTCAGTAGCTGCAATGGGTCTACAGTACATATCTATACAATGGCTAAAGAGTAACCTTTGAGGTTAAAATTAAATAAAAATTCAAAGACAAACAGTATCCAGAAACCATACATTTTGTATAAAGCAGGATAGTAGTATGAAACTCTGATTAAAGTAGCAGAATGTAAAAATGTCATGCAAAAAGTAAAGGAATACCAAACATTACCACAATCTGAGACAGGATAGCTACCATCATATGAGCAGAAACAGTCCACCCATTGTTAGGCAAACCACACTTTGTCGATTTCACACTTTCACAACAAAACTCATTGATTTCAAGTGACACCAAACTTTTCCCAGCTACACTCTGTGGTCCAGCACATTTCCAGGATGTTTTGTTACCTTCAATGTTGTTGGCAAAGGATCGTAACCAAGCCAGGTTACAGTCACAGTTGAACGGGTTATTATCAAGCTGTATACATGTTGTAGTACCACATTTTGGCAAGTCAGCATAAGGATTGCTTTCAATGGTTGCAATTGAGTTACTCGATAAGTCAATTATAGACAGATCTCTTAGGTCAGTAAACGCATTCTTTGGAACGTGAGTGAGATTATTATTTTGAAGGTTAATGCTGTACAGCGCTGGCATTTTCTTCAGAAATCCATTAAATGTAACATTGGATGTCAGTTGGCATCCATTACATTGAAATGCAGTCACTTTGGAATCCCGGAAAGCATTCTCGTCAATTGATTGGATTGGGTTACCATCAAGAATTATACTGCCAAGTTCAGTTCCTTTTAGTATATCTGCCCCGATAAAGTTAATTCCACAATTACCAATTGATAAAGCTTTCAGTTTTGGTAGGCCAGTGAACAAGCTATCCTTCAAACGTTGAATGTATGTGCCACTGATCCACAAAGTCTGAATATTTTTACCGAAATGTCCTTCGCCTATCTTTGTAATACTATCTTTATCTAATTTTGTATTCGCAAGGTTAAAAGTTTGAACATTTGGTGAGTTTTGAAGCAAATCATCAGGCAAAGTTGGTAATGGATTATCGTTAAGCCCAAGTGTCTCCAAACTTGGTAGATTGGCAAACAAGCCAGCTGGGAGCGAGGCAATATTATTATCATCGAAGACGACTTTAGACAAACGATTCAAGCCTTGAAAAACCGAACTATCGTTAAAGGTAAGACGACGGCTTTGCTTGACTATTTCTATATTAGTTAGATTGACGAGATTCTTGAAACTGTCACGATTTAGGATGCGAATATCACAATTTTCAAACTCCAGTCTGTTCGTATTGTTTGGTATCCATGCCGGTATGTCAGTAATTTGGTCGTTGTCTTTACATTCAACTTTCAGATCATCCAAAATCTTGCTACATGTACAGCCAGACGAAGCTCCAGTTGGACAAGCAACATCCTGGGCTGAAACCACAAGGAAAAAGCAAGAAAATAGCGAAATAAAAGCACACAACATTTTCATACCGAATATCGAATGTTTGAACGCAACAATGTTTATCGAAGGTGTTGTTTTCCGGTGAATGTGAAAACGCGGAATGGCCGTGGAATAATGCGGAATGGCGTGGGGATGCGGAATGAGCCACTGAGCTATACTATATTACTGGAGGAGGTGCTCCTATACCCTGGCCCAGAGGTTTTTTTAGGTTTGGCGAACGCGAAATGCGAGAAAACGCGCGAAGAAAAAGGAAAAACCTCTGGTGAATTTGTTAGCGATTCCTGGTTCGGATTTAATGCATCATATTCTAAAAATATTATGCAATCATTATCCTTGACGCCAGGCCGTCTAGACAGGGTTTTATCGCATGTATACTGTCCAGTGTATGCCTGCCCTAGGGTGGCCCACAGGTGCCACGGCACAAACAAAAACTTCACGGCACGAACAAAAACTCCACGGCACGAACAAAAACCTCACGGCCTGTGATTGGCTAACGGCAGATAGTACGTTGGATTTCCAACGTGAGTTCTATATAAACAAA